GGCTTTGAACAATGTCATCCAATGATCTGAGCAACATTCTATAGCTTTGAACAATGTCATCCAATGATTTGAGCAACATTATACAGCGATGAACAATGTCATCCAATGACCCGACAAACATTATATAGCTTTGAACAATATCACCCAATGACCTGATCAACATTCTATAGCTTTGAACAGTGTCATCCAATGATCTGAGTAACATTCTACAGTGATGAACAATGTCATCCAATGACCCGACAAACATTCTATAGCTTTGAACAATATCATTCAATGACCTATCAACATTCTATAGCTTTGAACAATGTCATCCAATGATCTGAGCAACATTCTACAGCGATGAACAATGTCATCCAATGATCTGACAAACATTCTATAGTTTTGAACAATGTCATTCAATGATCTGAGCAACATTATATAGCTTTTAGCAATGTCATCCAATGATCTGAGCAACATTCTACAGCGATGAGCAATGTCATCCAATGATCTGACAAACATTCTATAGCTTTGAACAATGTCATCCAATGACCTGATCAACATTCTATAGCTTTGAACAATGTCATCCAATGATCTGAGCAACATTATATTGCTTTGAACAATGTCATCCAATGATCTGAGCAACATTTTACAGCGATGAACAATGTCATCCAATGATCTGAGCAACATTTTACAGAATTGAACAATACCATCCAATGACCTGATCAACATTTTACTGAATTGAACAATATCATCCAATGACCTGATCAACATTTTACAGCATTGAACAATATCATCCAATGACCTGGTAAACATTCTACAGCGATGAACAATGTCATCCAATGACCTGGTAAACATTCTACAGCGATGAACAATGTCATTCAATGACCCAACAAACATTCTATGGCTTTGAACAATGTCATCCAATGATCTGAGCAACATTCTATAGCTTTGAACAATGTCATCCAATGATTTGAGCAACATTATACAGCGATGAACAATGTCATCCAATGACCCGACAAACATTATATAGCTTTGAACATATCACCCAATGACTGATCAACATTCTATAGCTTT